CCTGTACTTTGGCCTAAACTTTCCCTCTCTCTGATTTATCTTCAGCCCATAATTGGAGACATGTCTTCCTCTAGGAATCATCTTGGTCTCCTTCTGGGTTGGGATCTTGGCTTGTCCAACACCAGTTGAAATCTGATTTTTCCTACCAGCATTAAAGACACTGCATTAAACTGATTAGCTAAAGGTGAACACTGAGTTATTGTTTCTTAAAAATGAGCTGCCAGACACATCATACCTTAAATCCATCCATATTTGGACACACAGAATCACAGGATGTTTGTGGTTGGAAGGGGCCTCTGGAGGTCATCTGGTCCCCCTGCTCAAGCAGGCCCACTTAGAGCTGGTTTCCTAGGACCATGTCTAGACAGCCTTTGAATATCTACAAGGCAGGAGACTCTACCACCTCTCTGGGCAGCCTGTGCCAGTTCTTTGTCACCTTCACAGTAAAAAAGTGTTTCTTGATGTTCAGAGGGAACCTCCTGTATTTCAGTTTGTGCCCATTGCCTCTGGTCTCACCACTGGGCAGCACTGTAAAGAGTCTAGCTCCATCTTCTTTGCACCCTCCCTGCACACAAAATACTCCTTCTTGCCAATTAGACATCCTTGCCCTCAGCAGCTAGGGCCTTAACATTTACTCCTACACATATTAATACTATCACTTTTATTGTCTTTTTAGCCTCCTTTGGTGTCCAAGGCTGTTGAATGCCACTTCTGACAGCTAAAGGCCTGAAATAAATGTTTGTACATTAGTATTAGATTATATAGTTTCCAACTAAAAATTAAATCCTACCAATGTTTCATTGTTTCCATATGAGAGTTTTAACTTTTTTTAAATGCTTTTAATAAGCATTGAGGTGAACAATTTTGTTGCACTTTGGCATCCTTAGCATTCATATCACAGCCCTGAACTGCAGTCTTCCTGCTATAAATGCTGAAAGAAGAAATCAGCAACATGTCCTACTGGCACTGCTTCATTTATCACACCAAAGGTTGATTGATTGAAGACTCTATTCCATTTCAAAAAGTATTACCTGTTTTAAAGCTACAAGATACAGCACAGGATAAAGGCTAAGTATGTACCTTTCTAACAACGTGAACCTTAAGTCATTCTCAAAACCTACCCTGAGACGTTTGAAAGAAATACTGTTTCATGTTCTTTTAGTCAGCTCCTGACGGTCTGATTGCGATAATATGTAACACACGGATTTATTTCCTACTTTAAGAAATCTGTTTCATCCTGTTACAATCAAATTGCTTTTGGCAAGCCTGGACACAGACACTGTTCCCCTTCAGAAGCTGCAAAGTGTGAGAACTTACAGTTCTTCAGAAACACACTGACCTTCTGGAAGCCACTCTACTGGCAGCCTTGCAGAAGACATTGTACTCAAGGAGTCAGTGAGCTTGGACAGGCCATGTCTGCTCTACTATGGCTATGGCTGGCCCAAGCACCTGGACCTGCTAGCCTTGGTGGGGCCTTGGACGGAGGTGTCATTGGCTAAGAAGGAGAAGACCAACCTGATCTGGAGAGACCAGGGGTGAGAGTTGGTGACCTGGTGAGGCACAGAGACCAGATGGGACTAGAGGCCATGGTTGTATTCAAGGGACCCATGAATGCATACATGCTCATGGGTACTGAGAGCAAGGCTGCGTGCACCTCTCACTGATACACCTCAGGAGACATTATAGAGCAGCCTGGATTTGGCTCCTCCACAGATATGTGGAAGGAAACTTCCCAAAGGCACCTGGAGCGTAGAGAGGCCTCCATTTAAAGGTAGCAGCCTTCAGCTTCCAGTCAGCCTGTTAACAAGGCAAATTCCCTGGCTCCTCCTGCCCTCTGCTCTTTCATATAATTCCCAGGCCACCAGGCCAAGGCCCTGCTGGAAGCTTCTGTCCTACCAAACCGAGTGGCCTTGAGGGCAGCTGCACTCGCCCAGCACAGCCGGGCACAGCCAGTCTCAACTCATGGAATACATTTCCTACCTGGTGCATTTCTCTCTTCTCCTGCTCTTGGCTGATTCACCCCAGCTATGGCCAGGTTTCATTCATTATTCCCAAGTCATATTGAGAGCTAGAAAATTTATCTCAGGCTGTATGGTTAAAAACTCCATGAGAGGGGGAAAAGAACTCTGTTGACAAGAGCTATATCCATCAAACAGAAAACCTCCCATCCCAGCACCATGAAAGGGCCCAAACTTGGGAACTGCTTTCATTACCCAAAACACAAGTAACTTGGAAACCTCCACCTTATGGCTTTGTTCCTATACAATCTTTTTCAACATTAAAATATCCAATGACAAGTGAGAAACATAGCTGAAATACCACATGTATAACAAGGTGTAATCAGAAATGCCTGTTGGAGGATGGAAACCATGGAGCAAACAGGGGTTTAATTTGCTTGCATAAAACAAAACACTTGTTTCAGGTCTTTGCAGTGTTTGTCATTGGGGAGGGGAGAAAAAAGAACAGAAAAAGAAAGGAAGAGGCTCTGATGAGACCAGCCATGCCTCTGCTTTGTCAAGGCAGGTCTCAAATTCAGAGCACTCTGGGCTTACTCTCTTATTCCGGCACTGACTTTTTCTGTGCTCATAGAGCAATCTTCTCTCCATGGGTCATGGGAGAAAAGAGAGGTTCTGAAGGAAAAGGAGGTTAAACACTTGTGGAGGAAAGGGCAGGGGGGTGAAGACGACGACTAGGAAAATCAAACTGAGTAGATAAATAAATACAGTCTAATAAAAACAGCACAAGTCCTCTTATTACATATTTTTGTGGTTTCAAAGGTTTGGTCTCTGAAGGTGAATATAGAATTTAGTATCTTCTTTATGAATACTCCAGTGTTTCCCTGGTCATCTAGCATAAAAGAGTAGCCAAGAATGTTTTAGCACCCCGCAAGAAGCTGAATACTCAAATACTAATGAGCAGATAAGGAATGAGCCGCCCAAGCGATAGGCAGCTGGGAGGTTCTGCTTCACACAGCCAATGAAAGCACAGGGTGATCGTATGTTGGTGTCTAGCTGCTCTGATAATGGCATCACACCTGACCCTTAAAACTCATTTAAATACCAATGATCTTCAAATTCTGCACTTCACTCATTTCCATCTGTATGTCAGGTAATGATGGGTCAATCCTGTTCTTTAAAGACCCAGCATCTTTAAAACTTGATAAAACTAAAAGGCACGTCAGATCCAGGTGTGCATCTTGCTTATTCAAGTTGTGCCCAAGCCACTCACTGGTAGGTTAATGACATGCAGAGCATGTCATGAATCAACTCACTGCAAAAGTATTGTGCTTAGGGAATTTGTTTTGACAAACCAAAACAGCCTACTCATGTTTTTTTTTCCAAGTCAAGGGCAGAATTAACACTGACACCAGCCGAGACAGGAATTTTCTGACTCAGCAAGGTTATATGATGTGTCAGTTTATACATGCAGCTGCAGCATGCTGACTATGACTGGCCTGTCTACTGGCTGAGGAAACAGTGCAGCCATGTGAGCAACCACCAGTGCGTGGGCATCCAACTTTTTTTGGGGAAAAAGTGTATCAGAGAAAGTCCAGACAGGAGTTTTGTTTTTTTTCCCCCAGCATACTTCATTGGCTGCTTGGTACAGTCAAAGCAGCAAAATAATTTCTCTGAACATTTGGGGTTTTTGGGTTGTGGGAGGAATCAACAAAGACTTGGTCAGCCTCGTGTCATTATTTGCATTCGTGCCTGGCTGCTGCAGGGTGTAACACCTCGCTTTGTCTGGAAAGCGAGCGAGCATTCAGAACACATTACTCACAGGCTGCAGCTCCTGGCAAAATCACCTTCATGCCACATAACTCGCAGGTGGGGAACACCGCACAGTGACTGCAGCTTGTGAGGGAACTCTCCAAAACCACTTGCCCCAACTCCTGCAATATCCTGTCAATATCTACAGGAAGAGATCCTGCCCATGCATAAACCCACTACCTGCACAGTAGCTTATGAACTGTTCCTTGTGGCTTTTAAGGATAAGAAGGGCCATTACAGCCTTGTGATTTGATTTTGGTATCACAAAACGTGACAGAAGACCAACTTTTCCCTGCTGAGGCTACTGTCTCCCTATGCTCCACCTACAATCACAGGAGCAAGAGTAGATGGCTACTGAGAAGGCTATCTGAGGCTTCTATAGTACCCAGCTTAACGTGCCAATGCAATTGGTGTTCAAGCCACAACTGCAGAGTGTGACTTTCTGGTCCTTCTCCAAATGTTTCTCACTCCAATAATCTGTAATTCTGCTTCCAAGAACTGTGTGGGTTATGGCAGGTTGTCCTTGACCAAATGATTTAAAGAACTAGCAGGAGGCATGCAATAAGGACTTCCCTGGTACATAACCAAATGACTTAGCTGCATCGCTCTCCCTCTCAGCTGTCATCTCAGGGCCTGCCCTGTAAAGATCATCACTGGGCTCCAGCCAGTCATCAAGCAACAAAATTATTTTTTGTAACTTAATACAGCACCTAGAGGAAATAAAAAATAAAAAAAAAAAAATTTTTTTCATGCCAAACTCCTCAAGGCTTAAGACAGAACTTCTCCTGGAACTCTGAAAATATTAACCACAAGGAGACATAATTTAGTCTGTTTATACTATATAAATTCCCCAGGAATAAAAATGCAGGTAACAGAGCTCAGTACAGTGATCAGTTTTATTTTGCAGGAGTCCAAGCATGAATTCAGCTTTGCTTTTTGTCAGACACAGTGTTAAAATTGGAAAGAATGAAAAAATCTGAAGCAGATACACTGTACCTTTCTTTCATGAGTTATTTCTTGTGGAACAGGTGTTGATTTCTTTCTCTCCCTTCCAGAGCCAAGGGCAAGTCCTCATCAGGCTGACAGGTTTACAATCCATGCACGCTCAAGGTGTATCATCAGTGATTCTCCCGACAATGTATCAGCTTACAAAAAAGTTGGCTGCCTTAACTAAAAGCTAAGTTGAGAGAACATCATATTTCTCCACTTATTCGGTACATAAAGGAGGTACTATTATTTCCTTCCTAAAACAGCATCATAGAGTTTTCCAGTCCTCTTGACTTGAATGTCTCTGAAGCCAGCTGCCTTGAGGAGCTTGCTGTACTCTGCTGCTGTTCGCTCTTTTCCTTCTGTCTGGACCAACATATTCATCGAATACAGTTGGGTTTCTAAAGGCCCACTTTTATCTTCATTCAGAAGGGATTCAACCAGCAGCACTCCACCACCTGGTTGAATAAAGAGAAATAAAACACATGCTGAGCTCTGGGAAGACGAGATATATTTCAGCTGAGTTATTAGTTCCTAATCTTTAGTTTCAGGAAGAAGGAGCCTCTATGTTAAGTCATATGTCAGCATCACAGAAGACAATGAAAAAGCAAACGAATCTGAGCATGCTTCTGCCTGGCTACCAAGGTACTGACACAGTGGGGATGAAGGGGATGCTACAGCTGATATGGAAATTCACATTTCCCCTAGCTGAAATCCACAGGAGCTTGCTGATTTTACTGAGAACCCACCTCTGTAGGAAGTATTTTCAAAGCTCAAGGGTTCAACGTGATGCTTAACGGGATTTTTACTATGATGTATATACCTGTCTGTCTAAACAATTCCCCAAATCCCCAGTTTTTATACCTAACTATGTTGAAAGAGGAGTCCCTGTGGAGGAGACCAAAACTGGAAGTCAGATAACGAGAAATTAGACCAAGCCCTATTTGGCTCAACTGCACACATCTGACTTAGGAAAGCAAAATACCAAGAAACCCCTGCACGGAAACTGCCACTCAAATTGTGCATTGAGGCTGGTGTGCTTCACGTAACTGATGGGTGAGAGTCTCCCTGCTCTTCAAGAGCTCACACCTACCAGGTTTGCAAGCTTTGTGGACTTTTGCCAGCAGCTGCCTGCATTTGTCTTCATCCCAGTCATGCAGTATCTTGGATAAAATATACAGTTCAGCTTCTGGAATTGAATCGCTAAAGAAGTCTCCTGCAAAGCAAGAATACATGTATTACAGAAAAACCCCAGAACACAGGGGGCTGAGTTCAGCAAAAGTTTTCAGTTTTGTCCAGTTCTAAAGACTCTGGGCTTGCCACGTCCATCACCCACATCAGACAGTAACAGTTACCAGGTAAAAGTCCTCTGTGGCACTGCATAGGGCATTTTGTTCTTGTTCAGTCTCAAGAAGGTCTGAAATGTTTAAAAGCAGCAGCTCATCTGCAACAGCCTTTGATGCACAGGAAAGTATTTGAGTCTAAGTTGGCTACAATGACAAGAATTCACATTCATAAAGCATTAAGAAGAGGAGAAAGTTTCTCATGGTTTCTGTCAGGGAAAAAAGGAAAGAATTTTCCCTTATCTAAGCAAATTTTCAAAGACCTTCACTTCAGTAACCAGAGAGCTATATTATAAATCCATAAGGAAAAAATACCCACCTCTCACCTCCTAGCATACTAGTTTCATCATCATGTCTTTCGTTCAGCACCTGGTGTACTGTATTCAGATTTTCCTCTTTGCATCGTACTTTGTCCTTTCTGCTCTCATTTCTTTGCAACACTGGCACACGTAACATTTCACGTGTTTCTCCATCTTTGTTTTTATATACTCCCTTCCTTCCTCAAGGCTTCTTTCTTCTTTCTGAGCTCCAAGCAATATTAAGTCATTCCTACACTTTGAAGGCTTATTGTAGATGTTAAAAAATAGATGTCCCTACACTCATTTTCATCATAGATGGTGCAAACACCATGAAAGATCTATGGACTGGGCAAGAGGAATTTTGGCTAGCTCACCCAAATTCAAAGCCTGAAATATCTTAGGACTTGAAAGTCAATCAATCATGACCACAGAAGGAAAACCCCTTGCCCAGAGCAGGCCTGGCATCCCACACATCTGCCAGGAGGTGTGCACAGGCAAAAAGGGAGTGTTAGAAAAATTATAACATGGTGTTATATCTGCAGTTTTTAAAAATTGCAGGACTTTTTTTTGTTTTGTTTTGTTTAAAGTACCCTTGTTCTGAAGAAATCAAATAGTTCTGTTCAGGATTAAAGAGCTTCTGGGTGGCTGAAAAACTGAGTCATGTCTCAGAGAAGGCAGATGCAGGTGCACAACTGGCACAGCCCTGCAGTACCAATGAATTGCAGATCTGGGCTGGGGAAGCTGAAGTCTGAGGCTCTCTGCCCACGTAACAGGCAGCTGGAGACCTTAGGCTCCAGTATGCTACCTCTGAGCAGACAAGGGGCTCAGGAGCAACAGCTGTGACAACACAACAATACTGTCCGCACCTACCTTCATGGAAAGCAATCCGACGCTCCTCAGGGGGAATAAATTGCTCTTTGGCCACTTGCACGACTTTTGGCAGGTCATAAATTGTGACCATGGAATTTGGGTACAAAGAAACACACTCCCGGGCCAAAGCTCCTCCACCTCCTTTGGGGAGAGCAAAAGAAGGTCAGCGCTGACACAAAACCAACCTGTTCAGCAACATCCCCATGAAGCCATGCAGGCAACCGTGTATTCAGCCTCATGGCAATTGGCAAGGTACGTCTGCTCCCCACCTGTTGCTGAAAGGGAAGAGGAGGGACAGGAGAGGCCACTGTCTCCATTTGCTCTGCAGGAAGTCCCTGGGCCCCCAGCACCCAGGCCTATGGGGTCAGCTCCAGCCCTTACAGCTTTTACACACCTCCTGAGCCAGACCCAGCTGCGGATGCTGGAAGGTGGGAAATGAAAAACAGAGCCACTAAATCAGGTGCTGGGGAAGCAATGAGGGAGCCTGACCTGTCCCATGAATCCTGGCAGTGCTCAGCAGCACTGAGATGGCAGTGTGCTGCAGGGTAAAAGGCTGCAGACAATATCTTAATGACACTGACTGAAGGGGAGGAAGGAAAGTCTGGCACCAGAAGATTGTATCAAGCAAATCAAGAAAAAATGCCAAACCTGCCATGTACACAAGGGGATGGGCCACTACTCACGCAAATGATACACTACAGAGAAAAACATTTATCTTCCTCATGCTCTCACCACTCTCACATTTCTCTTTTTAACCCAAACTAATTAGCAAAATGCTCTCTTTATTGCTGAGATATGTCCTGATTTCTATTACTCTGCCTGTCATATAAGAGTTATTTTTCTTTTCAGAACTTGTAAAAGATGACCGTTCAGAGGCTCGTTAAAGAAGATCTGCTGATGCTCACCTCCCAGGTCATAAATCTGCGTGAAAGGGGAAAGGTCAAATGCAGCAAGAACGTCTCTGCCACATATACTCCATACTGAGTTCTGGCCAGCCATGAATTTCATCATTTCTTCTTCTGATCTAGTAATGCAAACAGAAACAGCAAGTAAAAAAGGTAGCTTACAATCTTTGTAGTGATTCCTATCATACAACTCTTACTGCAAGTTTTAGCTTAAACACTAATCTCTGTTTTCATTGACACATGAATACATTCTCTTCACATATAAACCTACCTTAAGGCTTAGTGTAGAAGAAGGGTACAGCTATGCATTCATGCACTTAAATAGGGAATTAAGACTAGTGAAGTCCAACAGTATATTACACTGCTAATTCTCAGGCTTCCAAGGGATTTTTTTACCTTCAACTACCATTGCCTCTGTGACAGAGACCTGTGATACGTTTTTCAGAATAGGAAATTATATACTTCTATTCAAAACATCAGACAGTGTCCCAGTAATGGATATTGTTAAGAAAGGAAAATGCTGCATGATTCTCACATCATCATATTTAATTGTCCTGAGCCATAATTGAAAACATTAATTTTATCTACAATAAGAAGAACATTTCTATAAATATACTAATGATTACCTGTACATTGCTCCAAAAGGGTCTTGAGATGAAATGCCAAATGCTCTTTCATATTGGTTTCTTCCTTCTCTAAAATAGCAACCAAAAAAAAAGCATACAAGTGTGGATGTTTTTTTCTTTCACCCAAACACGCCTCGGGGATGTACTTTCAGCTAGTTCATCACTGTGGAAGGTGCTCAACTTTGTACAGAATACATGCCCGTCTGTTTGTAATGGCTGTAAAGGTACCCTTACTGGCCACCCCAAAACACACTGATATATTTCTCAACCTTTCACAAGAATGACTGGTTCTTTTAAAGGCCAGGTTGGACTGGGCTTTGAGAAACCTGATCTAGTGGAACGTATGTCTGCCCACAGCAGGGGAGTGGAACTAGATGATCTTTAAGTTCCCTTCCAACCCAAACCATTCTATGATTTATAGGAACACATCTCAGGTAAATGTGCAAAACTAGTGCAATCATCACCATCAGACACACCATCTTTGATCATCAGTTGCATGGACTGGAGCAAGTGAGATTCCTATTAAACTCCTCCTATACACCTTTGCAACAGAAGTATCCTTAGCCATCATCACTCGATATTTACTTTGTTGATGCCTCCTCAAGTAAGAGCCACTGTAATGATCAAGTGCTTTCCTGAAGGTCAAATACACAGAAATCTGATTCCTAGATGATCTCTACCATCAGAAGGAAAAGGAAAACAAGAACACACACAAACAGAAAGCAAGAAAAAAGAAGAACATAGTATGGCTCTGTTAACAGCTGAAATGATCAGTTGGATTTTCTTTGAGGGCCAGCCAGCATCTTCATTATGCCCTATCCAAAATCACACCACTCAGAGCAGCAACACAGATGCCATAAAGCAGTCAGCAACAGACAGCGCACAACACTCCCCCTTACCTCACAGCATCGGCCAGGTAGTGCCAGCACAAGTAGACTGTATTGGAGTAATACATCATAATATGATACTGAGACTTGGGACTTGATTTTGTAAGGTAAATGTTGGAAATTTCTGTGTTTCTGTAAAGGGCTAAAGGGTGAAAGAAATATATTTAATAACATCTATGTTATACCTCCTCACCAAGCTTATCACACAGCATAGTACTTATCTCCAGAAGATGTTTACATGACCAAGGATACAAACCTATTGCTTCTACAATCAATCCTTCCACTGCAAGGAGCAGTGGGTGAGGGCTGCTGAAATGTGTGTTGACCCACCCAAGTGTGAGTAAACACTATCTAACTACACTTATTCCAGCACCAAACATCTTTCAAGAACAGCAAGAGGAATGCCTTACGAGTGTCATCATTTACCTTCTGGTATCAGAGGAAGATTTTGGTATGCTCTATTGAAATGAGAAGCCCTTGCAGGCAAGTCTTTTTTTCTGATGAACAAGGTCAACAAGTGGGAGACAAGTCCCCAAAACATCATGCCAACCACACCTACCCTCTCTCAGTTCACTAGGGCAGGACCTTCTGCAGACAGATAATGCCCAGAGGACTCACAGAAATCTCCCCTGCTTCCTCCAATGCATCTGCAGTGGCATTACTCATCCACAGGACTAGCACACAAAAGGAGTATAAAAGATAGATCCTGCTCTCCCTAAACTCATTGAGCAACTACTGTAAGCCCTAAAACAGGGCCAAGGCAACACAAGCAGGGGACACAACTTCTAAGACTCTGTCTGATGGCCACATATCCCTTCTAACCACATAGAGTCAACATCTCTGATGCAGGGGCAAACTTACATCACCTCTCAGTTCAGAACAACCTAACAAAATACTTCACATGGTGGTAAAACCCCAAAGAAAAACAAAATGTGTTTTTAACTCATGCTGTTGCCCATTCGCAATGAACCCTTGCATTTTGTTTTAAAATCATGCCCATACCTCAGAGTTTTCTTGAGACCAGCTCTGCAGAGACTCTGAATAACTTCTCCAAGGTTACCTGAGGCTCTTGCACAAAGAAGTTTAGTGATGTAGAGCCCTTCATCCAGGTTTTACGTTACACCTTTAATCATGCTGACATTTGCTGCTTCTCTTCCAGCTGAAAAGGGGATGGCATTCTCAAGAAATTCTCTCCTCCTTCCAGCTACAGTAATTGGCCTAACACTAGATATCACCTCTCCCCACTTGCAAAACCAGAGGTTTAAATCTTTTAGTTTCTTCCCTTTCTTCTGCCTTTATTACCTCCTTCTTGTGTCAGCTCTACTGCCAAGAGCTTCAATCCCACACAGGCATCCAGCAGTCTTTCCATCCCCGTGGTGCTGGTACCCAAGCACGCAGCAATGGCATCTGAAGACAGAGGCTCTCCTGACTCCAGCAGAAGATCAAACACCCCCAACTCACAGGCAGTGAACATAACCTGGGGATAAGGAAAGGTGGGGGTGAGGGAGCAGGTGAAAGCACCAAAGCCTACTGCATTTCTAAAGCTGCTTTGTTGCAGAAAATACACATATAAAAAGATTTTACAGAAAAAAAAAATATTTCAAATAAACAAGTCCAATGATGAAACTGAAGTTTCTCTGAACACAAACAATACCATACAGTGCCTTTTTAATTCTTTTTCCTTTTCTGGTGAAGCCAGACAATGTTTTTGGCTCACAAAGGATCACATTTAGAGACCAGGTTTTGGGTGTGAATGCTCTTGCCTCTTCCTTAGTTTCAGAGCACATTCTCACAGTCACTCTTGCTTTTTGCCTGGACATCACAAAGGCAAGACTGTGTGGTGGTGGGTTTTCCTGTTGTTGCTTCTGTTCTTTAACTAAGGATTTAATGTATACTCCAGTGAACCCCGGAAACTCTCCTGTGGCTTGCAGCAGTGGGGAATATCCCACTTTGTGGACCCTATTTTCAGGGACTAATGTACATGACTACAGTGGTCTCCCTGGGGCAGGGAGGTTCCTCTCAGCCAAAAGGACTGCTTCATTCAAGCCAGCAGAATTTCCCTGTCTTTTCACAGAGGAGGAAGGTGTGTAACCTCTCCAAGAACAACCTTCAACTTTCAGACAGACATATGTAACCACACATAAGAAAAACATTCTTCCTTAGCTGCACACAGTCAACTTTAAAAGTATTAGCCTATTTCTCTGACTATACAAACACTCCTAAAACAGTAACAAAGCATCAACTCAGTTGACTGCCTGTATCTACAATGATTTGGTAAAGTCCATGGGAAGCTTCTTTACCCTCAGTAAGGTCATGACTTAACCAAAGTTGAGATCATTTCTCAAAAACATAGTAGTAATGTTAATTTGGAAAGCATTGGGCACTTCTCTTTCTCACCAAACAAAAGGATTTTTCGTTATCCATTTTTTCCTCTCTTTACCATCAGCTCTGCCTTTCAGGAGCCTTAGGATGCAGCAGTATTTACAACCCAAGAGCATTCCTTCCATTACTATGTTGGCCAGAGGCACAGCAAGGGACAATAGAAAAGGAAACTAAATGGTAAATGAGGAAGAAATCTCCACTGCACTGGATATTATCATTTTATGCCTATATGCTTACAAACACAGAAAGGCAAACAACATCAGTAAACATTTAAGGAAAGTGGAACTATTAGTTCTACAAGTGTGCCTTAATCAAATATTATAAAAGTCATTATACCAGATCTTTCTTTCACCTGAAGAACTTCACACAGAAGTTCTCAAGTTCAGCCTTCTGTATAATACATACAGACAAACCATGGAAGTGGGAAAGAAATTCTCTGAGGAGATATTTGAAAAATCTTGTTCTTTGCTTGGCTTAACAGGGAGGTGAAAAAGACAACTGAAGTCAGCTCTCTGTTTCTCAAACTCCAAAAATGACAAATGTCATCAGCGGAATCCCACCACTGAAGAAACCTTCCACATTTGAGGCAGTCAGACAGAAAGCCTTCAGCTATAAACTCCTCTGTTTTTAATAAAACCTCATGCAGAGACAAAGTCTACTCATCCAAGCCTCCAAAGGTCAGAGAGGTCTCAATAATAAATGCTAAGTTTACCACGAGTGGTCACGTCACTTTCAAATCTTTTTTATTCTCAAATTTCCTTCCTACCTAGAAGAGCAGACAGGATGCTTTCATATGAGATGGTTTTCATTCTAGAACACTTATTCAGGACCTAAAGTGAGATTCTTGAATATTTCTGTCTGCATACTCTTAGACATCTATCCAAGACCGAGTTATATTTCTTACCTTTGAGACTAAAAATCCACTGTTGTATTGCAAGATGATTTGAGGATAGTCAAGGTCCTCTGTGGAACCCATCTTCTTTCTGGACTGAGGCACAGATTCCCTGGTCCTCTTAATTTAAATAAGCTTCTTTCCATCGGGCACAGAGCACACCAGCTGATCCACTTAATCTTATTGCTTCTGAGAAACACACTGGTTACAAAACGTATTAGCTAAGTTATTTGGCGTCAATGGGTTTTTCTACCAGGATCAGCTGCTTCTTTCCCTCTTCCGTCATCAAGTACAAGGCTAAAGCAGCAGTGCAGATTAAAGCTTGCATTGTCAGTTCAGCAGCCGGTTAACACACTGGTACTTCAGAAGCACTTTAAAGCTTGTAACAAGCAAACCAGAAATCAGTACAGACCAGCATCAAGAACTTCAATTCAGTGCAGTGAACCAGGGGTTCATAAACCAAAGCAGAGTCTTACTCGGGGATTTTTCAGAAGCAGCTCTCCTCCATCAGGCTGGCATTTTGATGCTGTAAGACTTCCCAAGAATAGAAATCCTTACGTATGTCAGTCAGCCCAATGATGTGACCCCAAAGGAAAGACAACAATTTGGCAACGCAATTCTTCAAGTGAAATATGGACATTCATATGTTTTAAGGTATATGGGTTTAACAGTGAAGGAATATCAGCTCAGCTCAAAGCAGTTATGGCATACTCCTGGCATCCCCCACAGCCTTAATTCCACTCACCCCTCACTCAAGTGTATGCACAGCACTTACGTTCACCACACCGAAAGAGAGACTTGTTTGGCCTTGGGCTCTGGGTCATGTACCCAGGGCCTCAGACCTTATGCCAGTCATTTTCACTTGCATGGGTATCTACTGCATAGCAGGGAAGAGCTGCCAGGGAAATATTGAGAGCAGAGTCCACACAAGGAGCTGAAGAAGAAGAAGAAAGCATCCCACCACAGTCTGTGCCTGGAATAATTTCCACCCAGGTGTGGAAAACCTGGGTGTGCTTCCCTGGTCTGGTTTGCAAGCCGTGCCCATGGAAATGACAAAAGAAACACAGGGGCATAGCCAGAAGGGAGGTGAAACTTGCTGTGATGGGCACAGGTCCAGGTGACCCTGAGGCTGGCAGTAGGGTACACCCCATCCCTAAGGGCAGAAGCAGCCAGTCCGAAGAGAAGCTGTAAGAGTCTGTTGTGCTGCTTTATCACAGTGACTAGTTTGCTCTGACAATGATCACTCAGGTGAAGTCTACAAGAAATTAAATCTACTCTTGTTCCTCTTCTGTATTTTGCAAGTTCCCCCACATACTGACTTAGAAAGCAATGCCTGTTTGCTAGCAGCATCACAGCAGGAGTGTCCTACTTGTGCTTTGCCATGTTTTGGCAGAGCAGTGTGCTGAGGGATGACAAAATGTTCTACATTTTCCAGCTGGCTGCCACAGTCTTCCTCCCCTTCTCTGCAAAACTAACCAGGGGCATGCAGAAAGTCCTTGGGAAACAATGAAATGACTGCCAAGTGCCAGATGTGGCATGGATTTCAACTCCACAGAGAACATACCTCATGGGTCTTTCATCAGAAAATTAAAACCCTGGATTACTTTCCTGAAACCTCTCTGCCCCACTGTCCATTGCTCCAGCTTGTAAATGCCTGCCATCTTCCCATCTTGCCTCTCTGGGCAGATGCTGCAACTCTCAGGTGAGAAAAGACCCTTTCCATCAAGGAAAGGCTCAGTTTTTATATCACACATTTAGTGACCCTGCAGACAACAACATTAAACAAAACCTGACTTAGGTAATACATTGACGGCAAAATGTTACAAAATAGTATTTTTTTCAGTTGTAGCTTTCTCCACACTTCAGTGATTAAGTTAATGGGCAAAACTTGAGCAATATGCAGCTCAACATTTCGTGTACATTAGCTTGGTGTATGTTTAAAGACTGCACTTTACAACTTTGTCCCAAAGCAACATTTTAATGTTCTCTTCCTTTCCTAGGAAGCAGGGTTGTATTTATGCGGTGCTGCTCAAAGTTAGTTCTGTGCTTCTCTTTTGAACCTGCCTCATTTTAGAAGAAACAGGCCAGTACAAAGTTTTCCACGTTCCTTCTGACCATTTTGTGGATGCAGTGAAACTTTCTCAACTGAAAGGTTCCACTATATAATCCTTCTGTGAATCTGTATTTTCCATTTGAATCCTTACATTTAATCCAAAAGATGTTGTATTTCTTTTAGACAGTAGTGAAATAGCAACCTACTTTAAGAGTTAGGTGTTAAAGTTAACTAAGCAGATGTCACAGTTATGAGCCTTTTTCCCCTCTGTACACAACTCAGAAACAGTACCTGTTCCCCAGGCTCTAACATAACACCACAGGGTCTCCTGTGTCACCAGAACACTAGGTCCAAACATAGTTACAGCAAACATCAAACTGTAGAAACACTTAGACCTCCTCATTCTGGCCAACATAGCCTGCAAATATCATGCTATTGTCTTGCTAGTGCACCAGACTTCACTGTTCCGTACAGATTAGACACTAACATCCTGCTTATTTTGTACCATGGAGGCTGGAGATCACAACACAAGTCTCTGACAGAGTGACTGAATCTGTACAGCTTGCATTTAACAAGACATGGTTTCTCTGAAGGAAATGCCTGGACAACAGGTTTCAAGAACACAGCTACATTCATAAAAGACGTCTTCCCCTGCTATCCCCACCTCAAGGCGAGCGCATGATCTCCGTTTCTATTCAGGAACTTTCTGTCTGCACATGCACTAAGTTTGAGTCTGTAGAGTTCATTCACTTGCCCAAACCTAGACCCACTCTTGGTGAACATGCTACAGCTTTTTCAGTTCCTCAGATCCATTCCAAAGGCAGTCCTATGGGAAAAGAAAGCTCAAAAACTTCTCACTAGCTCTCCATCCATATGGATAACCACGTCAACTTTTTTCCCCTCAATAGTTTTCCCTCTCCTCTGATTAAAATAGAGAAATAAATTGTACATAGATAAATATCACTAGCCAAAAGATTAGAAAGGTGTAGGAAAATAAAAATATTTCTCTGCTAAAGGCCAATTCTGCCTGCCCACTACTGAGAAACAAATTGGTACAATTTTGCCCAGGCATCAAAAGTTCCCATTCCCGGGATCATAACATGTATTCAGATCCAGGCCACCATCCACACTGGAAGCAAATGCTCACTACACTGAAGTATACATTTCTCTTCCCTTGAGCTAGCTGTTGCTTACCAGCTTACAGACCACTTTCTTCAAATGACTCAGCCACAGATGAATAATCAGATATTACAGTGACATTTAGTACAACTGCATTAAAGATTCACGAGTATGAAAATGCTCAGCCCTTCAATCTTGCAGTTTTGACTAAGTAACAGATGGTTATGTGCACAACTGTAGACTAGCATGCCCTAACGGGCCATAAATTCACTTCACTTAAGGCAATGTTATAGCATATGAGAGGCTCTGGTAATAAAATGACAAAACAGTTAATGAAACCCACTTGAAGTACTTTTTCAGTTATGACTAAATCTGTCTGTTGAGGACAGCAGATGTAATCATCTAATGGGATTATTACTGGTAGCGAGATGTAGGGTTACAGATAACCCACACCAGAGTGATGCAAAGCCACACACAGTGTATTGCTGTTTCCAAGTAAATTAGTAAATTGTTAGAGAGGCTTAAAGTCTAAGCTCCTTTTAAGGTACAAACGCATTCATGAAGATGAAATTGCAATGGCTTGCTTTCTCTGAAAACCCCATCAAGGTTTTTCTCATAGTGCTTAGACTACGCACAGACTAAAGTCTTTACCTCCACAGTTCTATTTTGGTGATGAATTTTTCTTTGCTGAAATGACTTACTACAGACAAATACTACACAAAAAATAATTACGTAATTTTTGCATAACATTTGAAAGTAGGAAGTTATCTATGAACAAAGCAGACTTAGTAAAACTAACGTGTCTGTTGGTGAGAAATGGCAGATGACACTATTTTCACACATGCAACCTTCCTTACAAGCAACAAGTACAGATCTCAGGGATGTGACTACAATAATGAGTTTCAGTAATGTCAATATAGAAAAAACTGTGCCTTGATATCATTATTAAGCCTCTAAGTATGCCCAGCTTGTATCAGATGACCTGGAAGTGCATTAGGGTAATAAAGTTTGTGCCCCCCCTCCCCCCCTTTTTTAAGAATCCTAAAAAGCCAAGATATATTTTCCCTCTGAAACGGAACATCCAGTTTTAACAAAATGCTCATTTTCTTCTTTATAACTTCTAATTCTTCTCATGTTTTACAATAGATACATTTCCCAAGTAACATGACTATTGCTTCTGTCAGTTTTTGACACCAACTAATTTTATTTTTTTCCTGTTTACATCATACATACTGCTGGCAGGCATTTGGAGTGGGCAGGAAATCCTGTATACCCATCTCATTCTCTCAAACCCTCCCTTCTCAGTTTCCTTACAGTAAAAACTCTGACTGAGAATGTCTTTTAAAGACCATCACAAGAAATCCAGAGTTGTTCTTCATTTAACTTCATGGCCTGCAAATAATCTCTCAACAAATAATTCAACCAAATAGTCATTGAAATCTCCGTCAGAGGAAGGTCCCAGCAGATAAGAGGCATCGTCTCCCTGAGGACAGACAGGATCACTAGCTAAAAATGGTAGAGGCCAAAACTTTAAAGGGAGAGAGATGCAAAAAGAAAACTAAGATGGACAGCAGCAGAGGCAGGCCCTCATATCAGAAATGACCTGTGCTGTGTCAAGAACGACGAAGGCAATCAATGGTCACACAACTGCCTTGCACAGGCCACTTTACCCTTGCTAATCTAACAATCCTCTCCATTTCTTCAGAAAGAGAGCTTCAGAAAGAAGTGTTCCTATGGCTTGGCATGGGCAAGCACCCCTGAAGTTCTTTTACCTGGTAAAAGGCTCACCTCATATGTCTTTTTTACAGCCTTATGCTGTTTGCTAGCCATGTCACGTGCAGTGAGCAGAAGAGAAAGACTTTGCCAGCCCTTCCTTTTTCCAGTTAAGGTAGGCAGTAACAGACACCACTAGG